TGACACAATACTTTTCCAGCAAAAAAAACAGTTTAGCGCCCGAAGTATCGTCATAGTTCGAAAAATGTGTTTTTATAAGAAAATTTCTCCTGCAGAATGGGCTTTTCCATAGCTTGTTTTCGCAGTTTCACAGAAGTAAGACCGGCTGCAGCCGTATATGGACTGCTGCTGTGTAAAAAAATTTACTCAAATTTATTTTCATCCAGGAACCAAAGAGCTAAATCTGGGTGTGAAATGCACGTTTGGTACCCGTACCCCATCAGATCTTTGAATTCCCGTCTGCAAAGCCATAGCTAGTCAAATGACCATCTATGGCTCTGGCTTCCGGCCTTGATAAGAGAATTTATTCTCTTCAGAGAAATTTCCACAATGCATGCAATGGTTTTTTGCGGACTTTCGTCCACGGCTCTCGTTGGGTCACTTTTTGGCAAGTATATGGTCCGTATTTGAAAGAGGGGTCTTTTTTCTCGCAGATAGACCAGAAAGAGAATTCGTGGGGATTAAGAATGGGCGAGTTAGAAGGCAAAATCCTGCTTGTTCAAATATGGCTCACATGAAGTTTGATGGGCTGCCAAAAATCCATTTGCTCTATTTTATACATGTTTCGATTGTAGTCGTCTTCTCCACATTCTTTTGTTCCATTGTGGTCCTTTCTGACTTCGTTCCTTACTTAAAAGTGATCTAGCTCAAATTTCAATTAACCAGCCGCTGTAACCCGAAAATCGCAATTTTTCGAAATTTACGAGTATCAGAAGCTGTTTGAATTTTGGCATGATGAGGCAACAATCCACACCGAAAAGAAATCGCAGTTGAAAACCCATCTTTCAAACACGGAAAAAATGATATTCAGCTTTCTAACTCGCTCAATCATAGTCCCACAATTGCTCTTGTCTGTATAACCGAAAAAAGAAAGTCTGCTTTTTAAAACCCAGCCTGATTGAGGTTTTTGAATATGAAATGAATTAACGAAAGGCATCGTATTTAGGAGCTGAATTTGACTGAAATCTTAAAACGGAAGAGATCGGCTTGCGCACATAAACATGATCATTTTCTGCATTTTCATCATGTTTTTGATTTTCTTAGGCACCATTTCGTCAATGCAAGGGATCACTGCTGAACGAATTCTTGCCTTACACATAATTTTTTGGACTTGTGAACCGGCAGAGGAACCCATAAGTATGCATGTAGGCAAACTGGCAAAAAAGGAAAAAAATGATTATTCAAGGATCTCCCGGAAAGCACTGTGGATTTCCTAATAAGTAGGTTGTTCTGTCATTTTGTACATCAAGTCAAATAATTTATTCAGGGTTTGTATTGGACGCTTTTGGCCTACCGGACAAAGAACTTCTACAATTTGCATTTGCACAAGAATGCGACAAAGGCGTCAAAGGTAAAACTTTCGTCTCAAAAAGTTTACGCATCTGATACTGATGTTTTTCAGAAGAACCGGCCCAGGACATCTAACGTGAGCACTGACTTGAACATCATCGAAAAAACGGACGCCGACATTGCAGTAACCGATGCGAACGACACACATTAGTCCAATTCCAGTTGTTTTTTGTCAAGTGTTCTCTCGATGTAGTTTATTTGAGTTTGCGCTGATGTAGATTTTTCTGTACCATGAAGTTTTTAATAAATACTATGGCTTGATTTGTTAGGGGCAGTGAAAGATGACAGCGCGGTAGACGTGAAACACACCAGTATAGAGTATGTACTCTATACTTGTGTGTTCCACTATATACTTAATATTAATATATATATACCACTATATATGTACCCATCAGGGTGAACCGCTGCTTTAAAGATCGGGGCATTATGGTGTCACCCCGCTGCAAACACAGGTGACCTGATTTTGCCCCGACACCGATTTCGTGTGACGCGCCGTTGGTCAATGAGATCACACCATTTTAACCTGCGGGTGACAACCGCGAATGTCTGAGTATGATCATACGGAATGATTCGACTGTATCGACGGGTAAACGAAAACAGAGCGCAAAACACTTGTATAGAAAGGAGCGACGAGTGTAAGAGGCTGATGAGAGCTGAAACAGTGGCCAATAAGAAGCCAGACCTCACCCTCATGTTTTGACAGAGTGGAAGAGGATTAAATCGGAGTTTTTTTCCAACTTCAAGCTATACTTTGTTGTTTATATTTGTAAGCTTTAGAGCCATGCAGTTGTAAGTTTGTGTTATATTTATTTCATATTTTTCAGTTCGATTTCAGTAGTTTTTGTCTAGTTGTTTGTAGCTGGTTGTTGTCTCTATCTCTGTGTGGTTGTCTTTCATTCATGAAGGTCTTATCTCGGTGTTGCTGACAAACACCTGGTCGCAGATGTAAAATTTCTTTTTGATTCTGTTTGTTTTCGAAGGAAGCAATGGGTGCGTTTTAGTAGTCTTTTCTCAGGGAAAAAATTCCACATCTCAGACAATCACAGGCTCTCAGCGGGCCCCACCAAAAGCGTCGTTGCCTTATCGCAGCCACTGTCGCTTCCCGCTGAGAGCTTTGTCGGAGCTTTGTCGAAGCTTGTCGGAGCGGACTCGCTGCCCGCTGAGCCCGCTCCGACAAGCTCCGACAAAGCTGCGACAAAGCTCTCAGCGGGAAGCGACAGTGAGGCGATGAGGCCACCGCGCTTTTGGTGGGTCTAGGCGGTGGCTTTGTGGCTGCCGGCTGAGAGCATTTGATTGTCTGAGATAATGATGATGCAATGTCAGAACCATCATAAACATCCTACAATTCTTCTTGAACAAGATTCTCTGTTTGAAATCCGTGAGTGAAACTGTGAAGCAGTAAAAGATATATGACACATTGCGACAATTTGACTAAAAAGCAGAATTAATTGTTCCAGATTCATTTGCGATGCAATGTGAAAGCGCAGGTTTCTAAGACCATTTTGAAAGTAGCAGAGTTACACGTTCATATGACATCGAACAAACATACTGGTCAATCACCACTTCCGTAATTCATTCACATAAGAAAGGACAGGGGTTATCGAGCATAAGGAAAGGTATTACAGATGAAAAAGAGGATTTTGGAAATCAGCAACTTACACTTTATAAATCAACGCAGTAATTCCAACATGTATTCTATCAGGATTGTTAAGTTTTCACTGTTTTGACTTCCTCTTGCAATGACTTATATTCTTCTTGATTCCCAAATAGATCTCGCGGTTCATTCAATAGAGCAAAGCAAACTCTACAAGATCGTTAGGAAATTTACTCAGAGTTAGCTTCAGTCAAAATTCGAGGCGACTGGAAGGATCGCGAGGCATGAAATATTGAAAAATCTTATCTCCGTAAAAAGTCCTACGAATTTCTTACTTGCTCAAGGATATACCCACTACATTTGGTATGTAACCGCAAATTTGCCCATTTTTGTCATGGCTAGAACTTGAACACATACATACCATACCTACATGCATGAGCATGTACTCTCCACATCCGGCATTATATATGGAAGTGGTAAGTCCGCGGTTTTGGAACGGAGGTACAAGTTTTTTTCGACTTTTCGAAAACTCCGATCTGTTGGATTTCGGCCCTCAACTTTAACAAAACATACTTTGAGCATATATTTGAAGGTCTTGAAGAGCCTTTGCTTTGTCGAATGTTCCGCAAAATTTAGAAAGCAAGAAGAATGTAGTCTTTAGGGAAGAAGGTGAAAATGGCAAAAATTCATGAGACATCCTATTATTTCCTACTTGCATTTCTCAAACTTTGCAGTGTGCTGATTACTTTCGCTTTACGTTGTTCTACATCCTGAGCATAATTTTGTAATCGACGGTCTATGTCACTTTTAGCAACCAGTAGATTTTCGTCGTAACGCCATGACGTGTTCCTAAAAAAGCGGAGGGATACTTTCAAGCAGAGAACATAAGTGCTGTCAACTACGATTCATGAAGTGAAATTACCCTTGTGTACATAAGGACATATCAATTGATCCTCGTAGTGGGTTGTACCATATAGCCGCCGATTGTGAAACAATTCTGCAAAGTTCTTCCTAATTATTGTACACTATTACATAACTGAAGTTCCTGATGTTGTTAGTGCTCAATTATAAGCCTTTAATGCAGTAGTTGGGACAATTCCAGAAAGCAAAACCACTGAACGCATACAACTTTGATAACTCCCAACAGGTGAGCTAGGTGGCGCACTTTAAGCTGATTTATTGATTCAAAATTCAGCTATCACAGCCCAAAGAATCAAGAAGCACAAGCAAAAACAAGGGTAATAAGACTTTGTCATGCTGCAGCTGTTGTTCTTATTAGTATTCAATTTGAAATCCGCTTTTCAACGTATAGACCCCCTTCTAGTCCTGATCTCGCCTTTCTTTTCTTTACCCAGCAGTGCTAGCCCTACCACATCAACTATGTGATCTTACAATCCGCGTCTTCGACTTGGCGGGACATTTGTCTCGCCGTGCTTGGGTCAAGATTTTCAAGCAACCCGTTTCTGTAACTATCGCATTCCGAGTGCGTTTTTGAACAGCATAAATGACAAGGATAACTGGCGATTGTGACCTTTTGAGTTATGTTATACGTACACCGAAAGACTCGTCTTAAAACGCTGATCTCGAAACCTTGCTCGTTATCTGCGGAAGCTTTTCTGAGATGAAATAGCGCTTGTGACAGCGAATGCAAAAAAATTTTGCGCCGACAGGGATCGAACCGGCATCCATTGTGCAATAATCTACATAGCTAACCGTTAGATCATTCGACATCTGTAGCACTATCGAAATTACTGGTATTCTAGCGCAAACACTCAAAATGGGAGGATACGCGGATTTTCCGAATAATCGTTCCGCAGATAACGAATACAGGATTGAGATCAGCGTTACCCGGCGAATGTCATGACATATCACGTATAGATATGCACGGCCACCAAGTATCCTTTCCCCATTACATGAAAGAAAAGAGCGAAATTCGATGTGGCGGAGACGACCTTTGTTTGTTACATAGAATTTTTGCTTGAAATTGATGGACTACCATGCGATTTAGATTGCAAACTTACGGCACAGGGGTAGTGTAATACTCCCTCAGCTGATCTTCTTTCCAACCATGTAATATGAAATCTCTTTCTAAACTCCACAGGCTATTAGTTAACCAATTGTCACGAGCCCATGCAGTGCCCTGAGTAATAGGTAATATGTTCAGTAGATTAATGATTGCTGTCTCCACCTTTGGTAGAATTTTTATCCTTCCGTAGATTTCGTCATTCAAAATAATTCTGATGCAAGCCTCATACTGGAAAAGGTCGCCGAAGTTCTTAGATTTATTGTAAAAGCTCAGACACCATATCAAATTAGTATTATTTCTGCCCAGAATAACCTCGGCAACATAAGCCTAAATTTTGATCAATAACATTGAAAGAAAGCAAAGTGTGCTTACATGAAGGGCTCCATTATCTGTTCCATGAAAGCTATTCGGTAGTCTTTCTTCGTATTTGGCAAAATCTATAAACGGTAGACTAAAACGATATCAAAAATGTTCTAAACCGCGTTTGTTATAAGCCTTATCTACCCTACTCTCCCATCAGTAGCCATGGTGTGGTCACATAGGCCGATAGCAGTGGCGGTCCGAGGGGGGGGGGGCGGGGAGGGGCGTCCCCCCCCCCCGAGAATGGGTCGCGAAATTTTTGAAACTTACCTATATTGATTATAAAAATGTGCAAACGACTTGTTTATGTTTGTAAATAATTAAAATAATTTTTTAAATTTTTTAAAAATTCAAATTAGTCTCATAAACAAATTTTTTCGGGGGAGTGGCTGACGCCACGCCCCCTTTTTCCAGATTTTAGGGGTTGGGGACCCGCAAAAATTTTAAGAAGTACTCCTAAAATTTTTTCGGAGTGCGTGGCTATTGCCACGCACCTTCATTTGAAAAAAAATTTTTCCGCGCCCCCCCCCCCGGTCCGAAATCCTGGGACCGCCACTGGCCGATAGTAATCCCCCCTACTTGGCGGCATATCTTCTCAGTAGGTTGCCGGCACCTTGCCGTGAGGTAGAAACTGAAATCTCAAATCTCGTCCGTCTCAAGCCTTTTTTCAGGAGAATCGTTGAATGAAGGTGCCACCGCGTTTTCAATTGAGTAGGGGTTTGAACTTCCAAGAATCTCCCTGGAGAAAAATATTTGAAAGGGCAGCAGATGCTGGTGGCAACTACGCGAGTTCACCTGCTGGGAACCTGCAGGTAGCTCTTCGATATTTGCGATGTGGCAGCTGGCTAGTGTGCTCTTTTGAGAGAGCAAGGTGCCGGCATCTCAATGTGGTAGGGGCACATCAAGGTGTTGGCACCTAGCTGGCGGCGTTTGCGAGTTTGGGTAGTGCGATCTATCGCACAATTTATCATTATCACACAATACGTCAAGCAAATAAATCTAAAAATTCTACTTTTCTTCAAGATATTTGGTTTTTGTCATTTCTTGATTAGATCGATGGTATGTACGAAAAAAAGAATGTGGCATTATAACAAAACTCTAGTAAGATCCCTTCTTTTAGCCGTCACAACCTATTTTGCAACAATCCGTCCCATCGTGTTCATAATCAGCTGTTTTTTCAGGTCAACGTCTATCACGCATGTATTGATCATGCCCTCCCATAGGCGCCACTGTCTGTGCGTTCCTGCTATTGTTTGCGAGCGGGAACAAGTAACTGAGTGGTCTATTGGTCAGCGCGATCGCGTTCAAAGGGTTCCTTAATTCTACGCCACAGACGCAGCAGCTGCCGCAGCACTCCGCAGCACGCCGCGTCCTGCGGCATGCGCCGCTGCAGTCGCAGTGAAAATATAAGCTCGGTCGCTGTGAAGGATCATTCTCGGAGAGCACGAACGTGCAGAAAATGTAGATATATATCCATCCGGCGAAGCTGTGCTGCCGTGAGCATAGGTTTTTACTGCGACTGCAGCGGCGTAGTATGAAGGAACCCAAAGTTTAGCATGCAGGCTCAAACGCGGGAGATGCCACTGTTCAAAGGGGTGGGTTGTCAAAATTCTTGTAGCGACAGTGACTGCGGACTAAGATAATGTGAGCCTATCAAGGCCTATAACCATTTAGCTGCCGCAGAGTTGACAACTTCCTGCGACGTGTGCCAACTTGCCGGCATTTAATGCCATCAGATAGGGCAATTACTACCGGCCATGATATCCTAGATGTTTTGAAGCACGTTTGTGAAAGCCGATATCCAGCTTTATGCCCTGGCAGTAGTCAGCCTTAAGACTTCAGGCCTCCACACTTACATTGTGTGTGTGTGTGTGTGTGTGTGTGTGTGTGTGTGTGTGTGTGTGTGTGTGTGTGTGTGTGTGTGTGTGTGTGTGTGTGTGTGTGTGTGTGTGTGTGTGTATGTGTGTGTGACGGAAGAGGAACTTGCAGAGAGATGTTCCATCCTACAGCTTCAACCCAAATTTTGCATATGCATAGCACATGCCACAAGCATGCAAGTCTAACATGCAAAAGCACGGGCGGATCTCACGAGCGTTCCTTCAAAAATTGCCAGTCAAGCGGGTCTACATAACTTTTGGAATGCACGAAGGTTCAAGTGTAACCACTTCTTGCAAAGTCATAATTTGTGTCATATGCAAATCTGAAGTTTGCAAATCGATTATAATAGAGCTTGCACATCACAAAACTGTGTCGTGTGCACAAACGGAAGAGCAGGGGATTGCTCAAAAAGTGGTGTAGTTTACCACTTGGTGACAAGCATGCGGGCCATTTACACTGCGACCAAAATCACTTTCCTTATGAGAACATTTTTGTTACTGAGGAAATAAATGTATGCGTTTACAGAAGATGATATTGGTGATATCTGCGAGACCGGTCGACCGCTTTTTGTACGTATAAAGAACAGCTGGCCAGCAAAAGAAGACAGAGCCTTGTGAGCCCATTGGGGAAACATAGAAGGGAAAACCACGGCGGCAAAAACTTGGAAATAAGTTGCAACCAACTGGCAATCTAGGATAACATCTCTGCTCGGGTGTTAAAAGCCGCATTCATTCTTGCTCGGAATCCAAAATTGAATTGAAAGAATGAACAGTTTTTGTGACAAATTATCTAAAGCCGTTCTTATCATTCTATCATTTCGATAGCCTACAGTTACTTAAGCATGCCAAAACCACTTGGACTTTTATTGTTACCGTACACTGTAAGCGACCTGAAGAGCTTCTATCGTGCTCTTCTCTAAGAGACTTGGTGAGTCAATAGAGCTTGTCGTTAGACTATGGACGAGTCAAACGTACGAGTTAGTTCGAAGCGTTTGATGGTATAATTCGCTTGATAAAGTATTGACACACTTTCAGGCCTAAGACGGCGTATCCGCCGAGGCGTTAAGCAGCACAATAAATTGTTACTATAAAAACCTGTCGTGGCAATGGAACTGAATAATATTTACCGACTTTTTCTATTAATCCGAATTACTTTCATTATTTGCCAGACGCCTTGGGACGCCGAGTTGTGAGCGCCTTCGAGTTAGAAAAGTGAACGCGCAAATGCCAAGATGGTACAGAATCGCAAATAGTCCAATATCACTTATAAGGATACTTCAAGCAGTGGCACCTTCTTTTCAATATACTCGTACTCAATTTTGCTCTCTTTAAGGTCTGGAACGACGGCAATGATTGATTTTACCAAGATTGTGCGTTATTTCTCCAGACCCGTGACTCAGCATTCAGATTCATTCGGCAGAAAATGAAATAGATTTGGAATCTGTGTTTTTTTTTAATGGTGTAGATTTCACTTGAAAAGGCCACTGCGACCAAAATCACTTTCCTTATGAGAACATTTTTGTTACTGGAAATAAATGTATGCGTTTACAGAAGATGATATTGGTGATATCAGAGCAAATCTCTCAAAACTGGGGAGCATAAAAATTGGTTTGAGGCTACCTTTCGAATATAAATCATTTGTGAGTACTTACTTAGTAAAAAGTCTTTTGACCAAGTAGTGTTTTTCGCCAAATATGAGCCGGCCATAATTGCCCAATTAAAAAAGCGATCATAAAAGATTATATCCACTTTAGGATCGATATACTCTTCAATGCGTCTGTAATAATGCAAACTTTTTTTTGCAAGAAGTTAGATTAGATACCTTCTAGGATTCGCAACGCCAAAATCAGCATCCAGAAATAGAATGTAATCATAATAAGGCAATATGTGAGCTGCAACGCAGTGTCGTTGGAAAAATCCCTAAAACACTATCAATCGAAGTTAGAAAAGATTTTCTAGGCAGTGCCTCAGAAATTTATACTTATTCTATGCTCAGATCTTCACCCTGTGCTTCAGCATTTTTTAGACTCCTTCCAACAGAGTACCAAAATTACTTACTAGATTTTTGAAATATGGAAATGCTGGAAATGGTGGCGCGTCAACAACTGTCTCTCATATGAGCATGTCTTGAGTGGCACAGCGAAAAGTTAGTAGTCGATCGTATCACTCTTCGCAAGCAAAAAAGTTATATGAAGCCATTTTTGACATTTAAACACGAGTTGATATATTGTAGAAACGTAGCTCAAAGTCAGACTGCATCAGAAAAATGTAGGTATAAATATCATAAAAAATTGCAAAGATGGAGTGTTTGCAGAGCATTTTAACTTACATCTTTTTGGGGACATCTGTTTTCGTAATGGCTCGTGTTTAGGACACGAAAGTCGTAGCCCTGTACTTTCGCATAACACGAAACACTGACTGTAATACTGTCTATTCACCAAGGAAGTGATTTTTATTGGAAGAAAACTTACGCATAGCCTTTCGGTATTTGCAGCTTCTTGTGTTTCCCATTATGACCACAACAATAGCAATACGCAGTTCGGATTGACTAAAGTTTACCAAAGTAACAGCATACTATAAGGGTGATCGGTAAAAAATGGGGCAGCTTGATTTTCATTGAATTTTGAGATTTTTTGTTTCGATTAACAATAAGCAAACTGCAACGTAAACGTCGCTTATATAAGCGACCTTTGCCTATTATTCTGGCAAAGCGTCAACGCTCCTCTCCCACAACCCTACGCGCGCCGCCCTGAAGAACTCGAACAGGGTTTTTGAACATCGCTCATTCTTGCGCTGCCATACCGTAAGTTTAGAGCAATTGATATATCATTCGAAAGAGCTCTTCATGCTCTTTCAAACAATGTATTGCTCATACCGGATTTCTTTCTATTTCTGGGTAAAAAAAGCGAAATACCTGAAAAATCACAATTTTTTGGAGCAACAAAAACCAATTAATCAAGTTTCAATCTGTGTTTTCCAAAGATAGATAAAATGTGAGGTAAGCTGCGTATGGATGGATAGAGCGTAAAAAGCTTTTTCAAATGGTACCTATAAAACATGCGTTCGCTGCAAAGCATTGAATTACACGTATCTTTGTTCCAAAAGCTGCTAATGGCCATATCTCCTGAATTTGAAAGTTTAGACCAGCAACTCATCGTGAGTTTGGTGACTGTACCTTCACGCATTGCAGCAGTTGTACTTTGAATGGTTTCGCATGTTTCACTGCGCAGGTACTGCTCAAAGTTTATAATTTGTCAAAGTGACCAACTTTGCATTTCAGACACTATAAAAATTATTAGGTACGTAAATGATCTTATATAAATATTTTCTGAAAGAGAATAATTTATACTAACGTCTATCAAAATTGGGAAGTTTAACCACTTTCTTTTTTGAGAAATCTACAGTTATTCTCTAGGTGCCCCATTTTTTACCAATCACCCTAATAATTTTTTGTTGTGGACCTCTGACCAGTCTAGCGCAGAAGCATGGGAACAGGTGTGCTGGATGCACTTTCAAATAAAAAATCGAAAAGATGTGTTCCTTGCTTCTACAAATAAGAATGTTTCATTAAGCCTCAGGCAGAGTTCACGCGATTTTTTCATCGAGATTTATCGCGGCAAGGCAACTATAAGAATATCTTTGCATGCAGATCTTCTTCCATTTTGGTTGTGCTAGTTTTCCAGCACGACTAAGCGTGACTAACTATCACAACCGAAATACAAGAAGATCGGCATGCAATAAACTTGTGATACTTGTCTTGTCGCGATGAATCGCGACGATCAAATCGTATATGTAAACTCTGCCCGGGACCTTGTACACATGTACGCGAATTGTTTAGCTGCACTCCAATGTGTTATGAAGCACTGCAAAAACTACTGTAACGGGTCAAGGTTGATATAGCCTTAAGTTTTTCTGTGCTTCCTGCAGAGTACATGCCAACGATTGGTTCATACGTGTTTTCATGTGTGTTTGACTAACCATGCGATGGTGATATATTGTGTTTGTTACTAACCGCTCCATCAGGATCAAAGAGCACTTTTTGGTGCATTTAAATAAATAAATAAATAAATAAATATCACTTTTTCATAAGCCAAGTTTGGGCGATGTGGCCTTCGTCAGAGCCCGAAAGCCAGAATCATATGAACCTACTCGCTCAGATATCAGTGAAGAACTAAAGTATCATTCGATAACAGAGCTAATGCTAAGCAAAATCCTATTCACAAGCACAATACTCACCTTGGATAGTACAGTAGGAGTCTGAAGACCTATAGAACTCTACTTCAGCTCTTTCAGGCGTGCCTTGATGACCGATCTCGTATTCAAATCCGCTTAGGGAGTGATAAGGCACGAGTCCCTATCTATAATGGTGCTCTTCTCCTTCCAATATTTTTTTGGTTTTGGCGCTAATCTAAAACGCTCCTAATGTTTTGAGCATAAGGAACTCGGGCTTTAACTAGATCTTCACAGTAACTTGTACTTCAGCCTTTCCGGGCATTATACGCTCTTCCCCCATGGCGTAGCTGCTTCTAACATATTTGAACCGCCTATATGCTCCTTAACGCGAAAGCAAAGCGGGCGCTCTTTTTCGCTAGGGTAAGTATCGCCGCGTGACAGGCATGTAATGAGGTGATAACTTCGGATAGCATACAACCGCTGAACTCAAACAACTCTTGGATGTGCTACTCCTGACTGCATGGTTTGCCCGTTTGCTAGATATAGTGGTATATGGTGGTATCTAGCAAACGGCCAAACCATACAGTTAGGAGTAGCACATCCAAGAGTCGTTTAAGTTCAGCGGAAGGATCGATTACTTTTACAGCACCGTAGAAGCCCATCTGATGTACACATCGTTCCACTGTGCTGCAAAATTCCAGAAATAAATGGCAGGAAAAGGGAATCTCGTTGTCAGCACTTATATCATCGTTGCTACGAGCAGACCCGCGTGCTCCGAAGTTGTGAAGTGTAGCATAATCATTGAAAACCGCAATCTTTTGTGCTAAGGAGATGGAATACGATCATTTGACGCTGCCGGAATACGCGCAGAACTGTTTTATATTGCCCACAATAGACCTTTGTGCTTTTTGGATGTGCAGACAAAAAGTGCACTAACAAGTTTCTACTGCTGGCTTGGCGATACCATTTGGTGTATAACTTCTACCTGCAAGATGAGTCTGCACATTTATTAGGTTGGCTGAAAAATTATTTCTGTCGCTTTCAAAGTTTTGTACAAATAATACAGGTGAGATGTGTAAAGATGTGGTATCGTCGGAAAGAGTTGACCGATTATAATTGGAAGGCATTCTATCTACGCAAAAATTGTTTCTTTGATGACGAAATCGTGCCGGAAAATAGAATAGTCAGATTTTTACACCAGATTTTCAAAAAACCAAGCTCTTAAAAGTAACTGTCTAGTGTGAAATGCACATTTGGTAAATGGTATGTGGTACAATACAATAAATGTGTTACACACACTTTGAATTCTCATATTTCTGTCATTTGCAGGGCCATAAGTGGTTAAATGCAGGCAATCTGGACGCCCAAACTGATTCCTCCGCAAATTTCCGGACAATCTCACACTTTTTCGCTGCAGAAACTCATAATTAAGTCACAGTTTTCATTCTGGTTCGCCACGTAGCCAAAGGTTGTAAGTACGCAACCACTAGATTACTAACCTCTGCACTTATTGCAGCTTGTAAACGGAACTTAGAAACTAAAATAAAATTTTTCCAAAGGTTATTTATATAAGGATGCAACTGCTTTGGTTACTGATATAAATTCTAGTCAACAAATACTTGATGGTAGAGGATTGAAACTATCTCCAAACAAAAAATGGTAGCTGAATCAGCTACTCCGACTCCTATAGAGCCGCAAAATTGCGTGTCATAACAAAATTATTAATCAGCCAACCTTATAAAAACGCCAATCAGCTCCCATTAAGCTTCTCCCCAGTGAAAACTATGTCTAGTGACTGCTGATTCAATATTTGGATGCAAGTGTCTCCCTGGGCTTGTGTTGCGCAGATGACGCAGCAGAGGCAGCACTGCCGCTTCTGTCGGTTTCTAAGAAGCGCATCGTGAGTAGGGAGATATATGTGCCCGAAAGGGAAGATTTCGCGGACTTCTACAACAAGCATCACCTCTCATACATACAATTTGCGTGTTGATGTTCACGCGGCCCCCTTTTTTGACACATAGTTCTCTACCCGTGCGTCGCTTTCTCCCATTTGGTTTTAGGACTCAGATTAGAGCAAATGCACCGGATTACATGATACGCGTCATAACAAAAATGAATCCGCTACATACAAAGACTGGAAAGGTGTGAAAGTATTGCTTATTTTATTACTCTAGTATGTACTTAATGCGCATAAATTTCTTCCCCTTAAAACACGAAAATCTACGTTCGTTTCTTCGAACGAAAACCACCTTGGTATGAATCTGATGGGTACTATGAGTTTCAAACCCTTTACGCCTTGGTAAATTTTAGTTCGTTATTTCTTTTCACTTATGGGCTACGCTCTACGGAGCAGTCATCAAGGATACACTCAAAATTGGAGCATTGCTGATTGTTTGCATTGTCTACAATATCCCAGATTCAAACGCTTTCTGAGCAAAATTTTAGTAAATTTTCAAGATCTCTGAACGTTTAAAATAGCAATGGCATACTCAAACTGAAAACAAATTACCTTTTTAATAGTCTTCCGATATAGTTAGTCGACACCATACGCTTAAAATCTTTCATACCATAGAATTTGTTCCATAACTTGTTACCCTGAATCATGCAGTTAGTTATCCGAATGAAAGCGCCGACATTGAGCATTACAACATTGGTTTGAGATCTGGAAATGGGGAGATTCAGCATAGTGAAGAGGTTCAGGTAAGCAAAAAATATCATAATCGAATGAATATTCTGCGGGTTGGAACTGAGTTAGCAACTGAACTTTGCAACTTTTTCATAGCTTTTTTTCGAATTGGTATACTCAATTTTTGGCATCATGTAGACGTAGCTGCAAATGTAGCCACTGTCTGTTGATTTTTGTAATTGAATTACCAGTTCTGTAAGTATACGGATGTAGTTCAAAAAGAGGAAAACTTATGGATCATAATAGATTGGGATGTATTTGGCTTATTTTGGTTATTCGACATGCTGGTGGTAAAAATTTTACTCTTTCGCGTGAAAGACCCTTATTTGTAGGACAACGGTAGATTAACAGACTACGTTATTTGTCAGCTGGTCAGATTACTCATTACGCAAAGTCTCAGAAGATTCTAACATTTTGACTTGGCACTGAAAGATTTCCGAGGCAGAAATGACCATTCGAACCGTTCATCTTGAGATCGTTATTCGCCTCAAACATTCTATTTTCTTCCTTGCTAGGCTTAAAGTTGATCTATAGTAACAATTTTGTCAAGCTTAATGATGCTGTAGCGTAGCCTTCCAGCCTAGTTTCCAGCTTGATCCACAATCTGGCCCCTCAACCCTCCCCTCTTCCTATATTTTACAGTTATTTGATCAAGAAAATCTATTTTCAATCAGCACTCCTCCTCACTTTTGAGCCCAGAAAGTAGATTTTGACATTTCTTTCTGAGAATAAAGGCAAAACTAATGCATTAAAACCTACGGTTGGCTTCTTATGCGTGTATTAGGTTGTGTGTGCTTCATTCTTGTTTGGAAACCGTAAAACTTTGAATTTCACCGGTTTTCAAATACCACATAGATTTTTTTTTCTATTTTGTCATCGAAAATGATACTTGTACATTTTGTAGCTCACTCACATGATACCAAAATCGATTCTGCACAATCTAATGAGAAGTTGTGAAAAAAGTAGCAAAACCTTGTTTGACAACTCAATATTCTTACAAGGGAAGGATACCAGTTGGTCGGCGATTGAAGATGAGATGTATATCAGTAGACGCGCTTTCAAACGATGATTCCAAATCTGCTTTCCTACTTTGCGGAATAAGTTTCCGAAAGAAGTTGTGGGCGTTAAAATGTCCAAATTTGCTAAGGTTTAGGTGGCCTAAAATTAACGAAAAGCTGTACATAAAACCGGAAAGTGGAAAACCATTTTTGTATCGAGTATATTGTTGGCAAGGAAGGAACAAAGCTGGTGGAAATCGCATAGGTGTTGTTGTAGAGCTTTTCGCTAATTTTAAGCCACTCAATGCTTGGCAAATTTGGACATTCAAACGCTCATGACTTCTTTCGTATACCTATTCCGCAGAAAAGGAAACCAGATTTGGAATCAGCGTTTAAATGCGCATACAATGATATATATCTCATCTTCATTTGCCAACTAATGTTGGTATCCTTCCCTTGTTAGTTTACTTGCATTAGTTTTTATCATATTTTCACATTTCGAAAGAAAAAAATTGTATAAACAAAAAGCTGTCTAGCGATTGGATAACGACTTAAACAACTCTTTTAGATTTTAATAAACAACTGGAAATTGGAGACATGGCTGAGGAAACTATAAAAAGTATTGGGCTGTTGCAAAAATAATGTCCGTTTTCATAAGCCTATTCCGAACAACTTTTTTTCCTTCAGAATTTCTTTTCGGTATACATTCTGCATATCATTGGAACGCTTTCTTCATGCATCCTAATTTCACGCGTATAAGGCGCGGGGAATTTTTTTTCCAAAATCGACCAGCCCAGATACGCCAAAGGACTTTACAACCAAAGGACCCTATAATGTGCTGTGTATTGCTTGAGAGAATCGTGCGATGTAAAAATTTCTTTCCGGAATACAGCGAAGCGGCTGAGCGGCTTGCTTGCAAATTCGAAAAAGTGCGCCTTATACGCTGAAAATAAAGTTTTCAACAGTGGTAAATTAAACTTCTTCCTAATCTGTGAGAATTTCATCAGCATCTCGCACAGCTGCATACAAAATCGAAATTTCGTTGCTTTAACTTCCTTGGCCACAATTCAGGCGCAAATGGATGATTTCTTCTGAAAACATAGCTACTGTATGAGATAAATATTGTTTACGTATTGTATGTTTAGATAGATTTGTCGAATCCATCTGGACTGAGAAAGCGACGCCTCAAAATGCATACTCGCTATATGGCACTCTATGGATTAAAAATTTTTTCCTGTTTAAAGCAACCGCCGAAACTTCGCTCATTTCTGTACGCCTGAAGTCAGAACTCTTGCTGACAATTTTCAAAAAAAGAACTTAGCTACTCATGCACGAAGGATTCCAAATTTTCATAATTTGGGGCCTTCCGGCCACAAGTAGGCTAAAAAAGTGAACAATTTTAGATTTCTATTTTTTCTTTTCGCAGGTCCCCTTCTTTGAAGATTTTTTATGCACATGTATACTACTGGCTTGCGTCTACAAAATGAGCCGATTGGCAGCCATAGGGTTCCTTCATACTACGCCGCGTACGTCGCTGCAGCGCAGTGGAAATCTGCTCACGGCAGCAAAGCTAAACTTTTTTCTATGTATCTCTATACTTGATGCACATTCGTGTCCCTCAATAGTCTTCCTTCACATTATGCATTTATTCTTCTCTTTTGCCTTGTTTATCCTGACTATCCTTTGTCTATATCAATGATTGATGGAATGACTTAGGTTGTTGTGCTCCTCTACTTTTGAGTTTCACAATTTGTATCGTAACTGACTGCACACTGCGTCATCTGGTTGTATATTGGTAGTATATGGTTGTATGGTTGTATGGTTGTATGTTGTATCTGGTTGTATATTTGCGCTGTTAACATCTCCTTACAAACACATCACTGGATGAAAAGGATTCCTCTTCTTTATCTACCATATTTCCATTGCGCTGCAGCGGCGTACGCTGCGTGCGCGGCGTACGTGGCATACGTGGCGTACGCGGTGTGCGCGGCGTAGTATGAAGGAACCCATAGGAACAAGACTTGAAAGGAGTCGTAATCTCTCAAAGACGAGGTTTTCAGAAGAAGAACTTTCGGTTTTTTGACACGTGATTTTCTTTCCCTTTGCTATCAGTATATGCAGGACAAAAACAAACGTTAGACAAAAAGATTACTGCTTCTGATGGTTTTTACTGCATTCAAAAATATACAGAGTGGACAAACTTATAGCTTTTTAGATTGAAACTTTGCAAAACGGAGATTATTTTTGCAACAACTTAGTAGAAAATGATTCTTACGATCTCTGAATGATAACTTTGATAAGCGAAGGTTGTGCGTATTCGTAAAGCGACCTAGGTTTCGAAGTGGGAGATGCTAACTAAAACTATTGCCATTTGATTAGGATGCTTTGTCTACAGGGTCGAAAAGGAGAAAGGCTGGGAAGCAGATACCCCGTTAATTGATTATGAGATTAGTGTATAAGAATAGCGCGTCAAACCGTTATGGGGATTGAAACAAAAAAGTTGAGATTATGTAGTCAGTAGACTCACCGGGCTCCCAAAAACTTTCTTTAAAACAAGTCATGCGGTGCTCATGGCATATCAAACAGTAGCATGTTACAGCGTGCTTGACTTACTACCAGCCCTTATCTGTATCACGCTGTATTTACAAGAGGTATACTGTTCCCAGCTGTTACCAGGCTGAAACAAATTTCGAAGTGGTACAGCCGAACACTAAGAATCTATTACAGTCTGATAACAAACCAAGATTTTGCCGCGAACATTTCGCAGATCCTACGCGAGGCAGGTGATCGTCAGCTTAGTATAGAAATATTTTGCTCTTCACTGCTTAGTCTTGCTTTGCTCAGGGCGCTATTCTCACTTTCAACGGAATAACTGCTCAACATTTCTTTCATTTAATTGCTCTCTTCCGCTCAAATCTGTCAGTGAAGCCTGCGGGAAAACAGAGTGAATCTGCCCGCTTGGGGTCCATCAGAACTCAACAAATAGCATAATAGGCGTTACAGCATTCTTGTGAGAATTGATACTTACCTCAGTCATCAATAACGGAGCATCGTAGAGCAGAGTAACTGACAGTATGGCCACGCCAATGAATATTAGTCGCAAATTATTCATTTGCTGTTGTTACGTCCGTCAGTCTTATTCAAATATATGGCAAGTATAGGGCATCCGAAAAATCGTGACGATGGCGCGACCGCACGCGACACCCACGCACTCCCATTTCTTGGTTTCTTTCTCTACTCAAATGGTTTTTCTGCTTACATATGATAGTATTCAGACACTGGAAGTGACTGCGCTGAGCGTTGAAGTAATGCCTGTTCTTATGGGTGTTTTATGCTCCTGTTGCGCAAAGACCGCAGTCACACTCGTCGCCACGATTTCAAAAATGAACCATACGTAACACAGGATATCTAACTTTTAGGAAGATTTATAAAATCATGAGAAAGCCTAAGGTATGGAAGCGCACGATACTTGACCGTGTCTTTATGCGCACCATCTTTGTGCCTGCCGTTCTCGTATCAGAATCCTGCATAACTTCAGCTTCATATTGCCGGTTTCGTCTACTAACAGATTTCGGATTCAAAACGAAGCTCAGCCCACACTTCAAATGCTCGCTGCCTAGTGGCAATAGTTTGCCAAAATATACTCAGCATGCTCGTAGTCCTAGTAAAATGCGCATCATGACGAAAAAAAAGGAAAAGAAAAGAAAAAAAAGAAGAAATGCCGAGTTGCAATATCTTAATGAGCCGCTTGCTTTATAAAAGGAGTAGCGACTATTAATCATGGGCCGTTTATCGACATTCGCATCTTTACATCAACACAGCCCGAAATAGACAAATGTTCTACTTATGAATCAGCAAAACATTCAACATGGAAGAGAACACACGACGGTGGTTTCGTTTCAAATTTAGGTTAATGATTATAGAGACTTGCATATGAAGTGGCAACGTGCAGAAAGTGAAAAGAAATCATCTTGCGTGCTAATATTCATACGTAACGGTTG